CACGCAGACACAGACACACAGACACAGACACACAAACAGACACACAGGCACACAGACACAGATACACACAGACTCACAGACACGCAGACACACGGACACCCATCCACACAGACAGAGGCACAGACACACCGACACAGACACACAGAAACACAACCACAGGCCCACAGACCCACAAACTCAAAGACACACAGACACAGACACACACACTCACAGACACACAGACTCAGACACAGACACGCAGACACACAGACACACAGACAGGCACAACCACACAAACAGACACAGGCACACATACGGGCACACAGACACACAGAGACACACACAGACACACAAACACACAGACACACAAACAGACATACACACAGACACACAGACACAAACACGGACACACACACAGACACACAGACACAGACACACGGACACACACACACACGCAGACACAACACAGACACACAGACACACAGACACGCATACACACAAACACACAGAAACACAGAGACACAGAAACACAGAGACACAGGGACACATATGCACACAGACACAGAAACACACAGCCACACACAGACACACGAACACGGACACTGGCACACACAGACACACACACAGACACAGACACAGACACGCTGACACACACAGACACAGACACAGGCACACACACACACACACGGACACACAGACACACAGACGCACACACAGACACACACACAGACAGACGCAGACACACAGACAGACACACAGATTGACGCACAGACACTCAGGCACACAGACACGGACACACAGACAGAGACACACAGACACAGACACACAGACACACGGACACATACACAAAGACACACACAGACACACACAGCCACAAATACACAATCACTGACACGGACACCCACAGACACAAACACACAGACACACCGACACACAGGCACACAGACACAGACACACAGATACACAGACACAGGCACACAAACACACAGACACACAGACACACAGACACACAGACACACAGACACACAGACACACAAACACACAGACACAACGACACAAAGACACACAGACACACACAGACACAGACACACACACAGACACACAGACACAGACACACAGACAGACCAAGACACACAGACACACACACACAGACAGACACACAGACACACAGACACACAGCCACACAGACACAGACTCACAGACTCACAGACACTCAGACACAGACACATAAACAGACAAACGCACACAACGACACACACACAGACACGCACACACCACGCGCAGCCACACACACAGACACACACACAGACACACACTCACACACACACGGACACACAGACAAACAGAAACACACACACGGACACACACACAGACACGCAGACACACACACACTGACACAGACACACAGACACACAGACACACATACAGACAAACACACACAGACAGACACACACACAGAGACAGACACACGGACACACACACAGACAGACACACAGACACACACACAAACGCAGACACACAGACATAGCACAAACACACAGACACACACAGACACACACAGACACACAGACACAGACACACAGGCACACAGAGACACAGACACATAGACGCACAGACACTCAGACACACAGACACACAGACACGCAGACACAGTCACAGACAGACACACAGACACATACTCACAGACACAGACACAGTCACACACAGACACACAGACACACAGACGCACACACAGACACAGACACACAAAAACACACAAACACACAGACACACACAGACACGGACACAGGCTGACACACGGACACACAGACACACACATAGACACACAGACGCACAGACACACGAGCTCACAGACACAAAAACACGCACAGACACACACACAAACAAAGACTCAGACACCCGGACACACACGCAGACACACAGAACAGACACACAGACACACAAACACACAGACACAGACACAGACACACACACAGACACACAGACACACACACAGACACAGACAAACAGGCACACAGACACAGACACAAACAGAGTGACACACAGACACAGACACACAGACACACAGACACACAGACATACAGACACAGAGACACAGACACACACGGCCACACACACAGGCACAGACACCGACACAGACACACAGACACACACACACACGGTCACACAGACACACTGACGCACACACAGACACACAGACACACAGACAAACAGACACAGACACACAGACAAACAGACACACAGACACAGACACTCAGACAGACAAACAGACACACAGACGCACAGACACAGACTCAGACACGCAGACACTCAGACACGCAGACACACAGACACACAGATAGAAATAGACACAGACACACACCAACACACACACACACACACGCCACACACATACAGACACACATCCTGAGTCCGAAATGGCCATCGCTTCAGCGTGCTGGCTGCATGGTTACGCCGCGCAGGAACTCGGAGGGCCGACTGGCGCTGGGCCCCCTGGCGGCACGTCCCTGGCGCGCCCCGCGCGCCAGGGAGGGGGGATCCAGCGCCGCCCAAGAGAACCGCGCCGACCTCCGAAAGATTGTGTTTCAGATGTTCTGTTCTTCGAGCTGTCTGCTCCTCCAGGAGCCCCTCTCCTGAGCTTGTCTGCTTTCTTTGGGAGCGGCGCGCAAACTGGGGCCCCGCCGGAGCCTCAGCCTGAGCGAAGAAAAGAAGTGGTCTTACGTACGATGGCATGGCGACTTCACGCGGTCGCTTACGCTGGGCGCCATCGTGGTACACCGTGGAGAAAAATGCGCTTACGCGCGACCTTAACCGGGACGCTGACGCGCTGATGTTCGCGCAGTCGACCCCGCTTTCCTGCATCGCTCACTTGGCCCTCGCTCGCGCGTGCTGGCCGCATGCTGGTTAGGCGGCGACACCAGAACCCTACCCCCCGCCAGCCATCGATTCTCCTGAATCGATGGGGGGAGGGGGCAGGGTTCGGCTCTCGCCGCGTGTTCAACGACCTCCGAACCCTATCCCTCGCCGCCCATCCACTGGCATCAATCGTTGTTCGGCGAGGGTAGGCTTAGGTCGGGCATGTCCTCTACAGGCGGATTTTGGGCGAAACATCAGAAATATCACCAACATATTCCAGAATGGTCAAAGATGCTAGAAAGATCGTCGCCAGACTATCTTTGGACTCTTTTTGAATATTCCCCCTGTAGAAGGACACGCCCGAATTAAGGGTAGGGTTCGGATTTCGCCACCGACTTGTGCCGCTGCCTGCTCCCCCCGATCGAGGTACCTGCGCGACCCGCGGGCGCGCCGCGCGGACGCGAGGCCTCCGCCATTGGGCGGCTGGGTGCTCCGGAGCATCCGCGGCGTTGTGTGCGCGGGGCCAGGCACCACGGCCAGAAGAACCAAAAACGGCATATCATGCACAGAACCTTCTCGGAGCTCCGCGCGGATGTCTTAGATCGGCGCTGGACACCCCCCTCCCTGGCGCGCGGAGCGCGCCACGGGCGGCGCCGGAGGCGCCGCCAGAGGGGTCCCGGTGCCGATCCCAAGGCATCTGCGCGGACCTCCGAGAACTAGGGCAACTATCTTCGCGCTTCGCGCTCCTCGAAACGCGATTCTTTTCGCGCTTTTTCGCGCCGCTACACCTGGGAGCAGGATGAGGGACTCGCGCCTCGCTCTGAAATCGTCCAGACCGCGCACCGTTGTGCTGGCCCTGGCCCTAGGAGAAAATGTGTTTGTGCATGTTTTTGATCTTCTGGTGGCGGCCGAGGTGGGCGGTATCCACCGGGGCCGTAGGCGACCCGAGGAGGGGAGGGCGAGGAGGGCGAGGAGGGCGAGGAGGAGGAGGAGCAGCAGAAGGAGGAGGAGAAGGAGGAGGAAAAGGATGAGGAGGAGGAGGAGAAGGAGGAGGAGGAGAAGATTGAGGAGGGAGAGGAGGAGGAGAAGGAGGAGGAGGAGGAGGAGGAGGAGGAGGAGAAGGAGGAGGAGAGGGAGGAGGAGATGGAGGACGCGGAGGAGGAGGAGGAGGAGGAGGAGGAGGAGGAGGAGGAGGAGGGAGGAGGGATGAGTATGAGGAGGAGGAGGAGGAGGAAGAGGAGGAGGGGGAGGACGACGGGTCGCCTAAGCCCTCCGGGGAAGCCCTCCAGGCTCGGTGGACGCCGAAGCAGTGCGGCACAAGGCGCCGCGGCGCGCATGGCTCGTGGGCAGAGAGCGGTTCGGCGGGCCGGGACGTGCGCGGCAAAGGGCGCGGTCGGCCGCCCGATGCGGGGTGCTGGCAGGCGCCTCTGGGGGCCCTGGCCGACCCTCGGGCCATGATGGTGATCACCGCCACCACCACCACCATCACCACCATCGCCCTCACTATCATCACCTCCATCGTCATAATCATCATCCGTATCATCATCCTCATCATCAACGGCAACAGCAGCAACAGCAGCGGCAGCATAATCATCAGCAGCAGCAGCAGTCACATCAGCACGACCATCCCATCAACGTCATTACGACGACCATGATCATCATGATAACCATAATGCTGATCATCACCATGGTCATCATCTAAATCATGATCGTGAACATCATCATCAACACACTCGTCATCATCATCATCATCATCATCATCGTCATCATCATCATGATCAACATCATCATCATCAGCATCAGCATCATCATCATCATCGTCATCGCGACGCTCAAACAGGCCAGGACTTTTTGTGTCTCTGGCCAGGCTGGTCGAGCAAGACAGGACGGGCCACGCTCCAAGTTCGGCGGAGGGGAAGGGGGCGAACGAACGGCACGACGCACACGGCACAAGCACACACCACAACACCACACCACACCGAACGAGAGAGGAAGAGAGAAAAGAAGGGAGGAAGCGGGCGGGTCAGAAAAAGGCTTGGGCCGAAGCGGTGGCAGATGCAGCACCGCGCGGCCCTCCAACGCTCTGCGATTACTGTTCAAGAACTCCCCATCGCGACGCCCAACCAGGCCAGGACCTTTTGTGTGTCTCTGGCCAGGCTGGTCGAGCAGGACAGGACGGGCCACGCTCCAAGCTCGGCGGAGGGGACGGGGGCGAACGAACGGCACGCCGCACACGGCACAAGCACACACCACAGCACCACACCACACCGAACGAGAGAGGAAGAGAGAAACCCAGGTCACCCCGAATGGGAATCTGGCACTAGCCGCAACTAACTATGTGTCGGAGTCGGCTCAATTTAAGCGACTGGGTCGCCTGCTCCAACGCTCGGGCAAACAGGACACAAAAACGACCAGGGTAAGGCTCGGCGACACTGGTCCAAAGTTTGCCCGAGTTTGGGTCTCGACCAGAAAAGGGCAATATGGCGCTTGCCCGTAAAACTGCACTGGCCCGAGCGCCCGCGACACGGCCCTGGGAGATTGATCTGACAACTGGAACTCCAGACCTGGACACGGGTGCGTTTTCGCCAGCGGGCTCCGAGGGCGCAAAAATCCACAACGCACTGCTGGCTATCTGGCCGCCTACAGAGGCGGGCAGACTGAGCAGCCTGCCACATATAGCTGCTACTTGGATGCTCCAACGCCACAGGAACCTGGTTGCTACGGCAGGCCCAGATCAAGGAAAGACAGAACTTGAGCTGGGAATTGCCCTTTTCACAGGCTAGGCGGGCCCGCTGGCTGAGGTTAGGTCAACCCCACAAATGACAAGCGCTCCTGAGACGGCACCAACTACTATTTGGGGGCCCGTGCCTAGCCTGAGACCAAGAGCAGCAGGGTGTCCCCATCCACCGACCGACGACGACCCCCCCCGTGATCCACCCCCGCACGATCTTCTGAATGCAAAACCTATCCAGATCGAACCAGGGGAGCTTTAAAATATCGACCGACACGACCCCGCAACCGAGGTTTCGCATCGCCTTGGAGATGCCCCCCTGGCCAGAATAAAGTTCAGGGAAAACTTGCTTTCTAGAGACCAGCGCTGAGGTCAGGGCCTTTCTCAGCACTCGCCGATACTCACCCTGATTTTGGCATCGCTGAGCAGGGTCTCACGGGAGGCGCCCGCAGCGGCAGCGGGCCCTCGCGATTGAGGAAGATCGCCACCAGCCTGGCGGCAACGCGCCGCCCGAACTCGAGCGTCTGGGCTGGGGCCTTGTGCAGCTCTGCCTGCCAACGCTCTCGCCCCCTGGCCGTGCCTTCTCAGCATCGCCTGCGAGTGCCACTGTCCCCTGGACTCGACCTCAAGAGCCGAGCGCGCTCTGGCCAGCAGGTCGCGAGAGGCCCCGCCGCGCCGCAGGCCGTAGGCGGTCGACGCCATCAGGCCCAGGCCGAATGCCTCCTCTGTCACCCGCATCTCCATCGACAGGGCGTTGTGCGCGAAGCTCCACGGTCTGTCGGTCACGCGCTGGCTGCGCCGCTTGAGCTATGAGAGGCACTCGTAGAGATACCCGACTTCGTCCAGCGCCACGCCCTCGTCGAAGGCGCCCACCCTTGTCGGAGCCCCCGGCTCGCTCGGTCCTAGCAGCGGTGCCCTGTGCTGCTGCCCGACCTCTGCGGCTGGCCCCGGCGCAACAAGCCGCGCGTGCGTCAGCGCGTCCAGCTCGCCTGGGCGGAGGTGCGCATTGAGGGCCAGCGGCGGCGCGACCGCGTGCTCCAGCAAGCCCCGCGACAAGAGCCGCCCCGCCAGCACCGCCACCAGAAGCCGCGATGCAGGCGTCCGCGTTGCCCGCGGACCAACCTTGGCCCAGCCAGCCAGCGCCCGGGTCGCCCTCGGCAAGCTCCGCGCGCCGTACCTGCCGACCTCCGGGCAATGAAACTTGACCGCCGCAAAGGCGTTGCTGACCACGTCCCCGGCGCACCCCGGGAGGAACAGCCTGTCCATGTACAGCATCAGCGCCAGGACGAACTCCTCGTCTGAGGTCCAGCTCACTCCTGCTTGCAGCGCCGATCCCTGAAAGGCCTTGGCTCTCTTCTGGGAGTCCGAGAAGGTCGCCTTCGCCACTGACCTCAACTCCAGGAAGGGCGCCGGGCACGAGCCCGGGAGGGGCGCCGACTCGGGCGATGGCGCGTTGCACCAGGTCCTCCTGGCGCCTGCCGCCGCGGTCGACTTGATGCCAATCGTCTTCATCCAGTCGTCCTGAGCGGCCTCAAGCCCCGTCCTGCTTCGCGTGCGAGACCAACTGCTCCTGGCCTGCGTCGAAGCTCGGGAACTCTGGCACGGCTGGCGGCCCCCCGGGCTCGTCATCAGCAGTAGCAGGCCCCAGCTTGGCACGTTCCTCCTCCCGCTGCGGCCTGTGAAAGTCCAGGCCTCGCGCAGGGTTATCAGCCGGGTTCCTCTCGGACGGGGCCCAGCGGACGCACGCGTGGGGGCGGCGGGCCGAGGCGAGGGCGTTGATCCCCCGAAACATTCCCCGAAGCTGGAAGGCCGAGGATCGGCCCTTTCCGGCCGCAAGGGCCAGCCCCAAGTTGTCGACCAAGAGAAGCGCACGATGTCCGAAGGCTTTCTGATCTCGAAGGGGATGCCGAAGGGCGTTGGAGAGAGCGAGACCCTCCAACCTCAGTGTGTTCGCTGGGCCCCGCCAAGAGAACGACTCGACGATATGCCACACCTCTGGGTCCGTGAAGCTCGCGTCGACCATGTCGAAGGTTTTCGCGTGCTCCTCGGCCTGGCGCAGGCTGTCCGGCAGGTCGTCTAGCACCAGCATCTGCTCCAGCTTGGCGGCCGCCTCCTCGCCCCCCAAGGCGTGGGCTCGCACAGCCGTGGCGCCCTGGCGGTGCCGCCAGCGCTCGGCCGTCCGCCCCCAGCGCGCAATCTCCTCCACGCTCGCCTCGCGTTCGCAGACCCCGCAGCCCCAGTGAGAGGCGTCGCTGGCCGTCACCTTGCCGTGCCAGTCGGCGTCCGTGTGGGCCGCCATCAGCGGCAGCAGGTTCCTGACGTGCCGGAGCTCCTCCTTCGCCGCCGGCCACAGCTCGCCTTCCTCAGTGCCCATCGCCTTGATGTACGCATAGACAGAGCTGAACACCGCCAGGGAGGACCGCTGAACCATCATAATCCAAGTCGTATGCCCTACCACGATCTCGAGAAAGTGCCCTGAGCAGGTGCGGCGGCCCAAAAGCTGCTCGATGGCCAGCATCAACCTCCAGACGCGCTTGGTGGAGACCCGAACGGTGTGCCCGCGCCCGTCAAACGAGAGGCCCACGAAGCCGGTCTGGTCCACCGCCCCGTCGGGCCCTCATGGATCGTGAAGCCCTGGCTGGACAGAGCCTCCGCGACAGCCTGGCCGGCGGCGCAGACGTCCTGCTTGGGCGAGCCCATCGCCACGAAGTTGTCGACGCACGCGGCTGCCCCAAGCGCGCGCCCAGGCCCCAGCGGGCGAGAGGCCTCGCGATCCTTCGCCGGGGAATCAGCCCGCTGGCCGCCGCGCGAAACCCCCTCCCCTGTCACCAGCTGGCAGAGGTGCAGCGCCCAGCTCCAGCCCATCGGCAACACCGCCAGCACCGGAACTAGGGGCGTCGACGCGCTGCGGCCCCGCATGCCAACGGCCCCCCCGCGGAGCGCGGGGGGCCTGAAGCAGGGCCCCAACTCCTCTGGCACCTCGATGGCGTAGAAGGCGTTGCTGATGCCCCCGCTGCTGAACCAGACGACGTCGCGCTCCTGGGTCTCCAGCTTCGCGAGCGCTGCGGCTGAGGGCAGGTGCGTCGACGGCGGCGGCGTGAAGTCGCAGTTCGCCAGCCTGGCGTCGAAGATGATCCTCTGCATCTGGTTCTTTTTCTTCGCAAAGAACAAGCCCACCGTTGCATTGCTGTCGCCAAGGTCCTCGGCGGGCACGAGGCGAGCCACGCCGCGGCTCGCCGGCCCAGTCACGAAATCTCCATGCACTTTGTGATCCCGAAGTGCTGGGTCAAGATGGGGACGCAGAAGGCCGAGCTCAGACCGAAGGCCAGCCGCTGCAGCTGAAGGTCTTCGCATGTTGGCCGTCAGATGCCTCAACCAGGCAGGGTGATTGGCTGGCAGCGCATCGCCCTGTGAGACAGGCTTCGCTCCCACGGCTGGCCAGGACACGGCGTCCTTGTTGTAGGGCACGACGGTTGCAGCGCAGTGGCCGTGCATGGCGGCGCTCCCGCAGAGCTCGCGAAGGCTCCCGCGGCGACGCACATCTGCTGGACAGCCACCCACAGAGCAGTAGCTGCGCTCCAGGTGCTCGAGGCATCTCCGCTGCGCAGCGCTGACGGCACCATCGCCAGCAAGATCGGGTCCAGCAAGTGAGTTGAGAGACTGGATGCCGTCGTTGGCCCAGTCGAGCGCACGACGGCGGCGATGAGCACGACGGGCGACAGCACGGCAGCCAGCGCCAGTCGTAGAGGGAACGGAAAGAGGGGGCAAGGGGAAGATGTCGCGCTGGCGCATCGTCACCTCGCGGCCGAAGATGTGAGAGCCTGCACGCTCGGGGCCAGGGATCGGCAGGCAGCCTTGATCGATGAGGTCCTGGAGGAAGTCAGCCACCGTCCGCCCCCTTCGACCCCTTGGGCCCCTGGGGCTTGGCAAGCTGCCCCTCCTCCCGCACTTCCCGCCTCTCAGTGGCGACGGCGCTGTCTCTTGCAACCCGCGCGCTGATCCAGGTAGAGTAAGCTGGGGCGACCATGGACCCTCGTGTCGTGGCCATCCCCGTGAAGTAGGACTCCTCGTCCTGGTGTTCGTTGCTGTCCTTTCTCGTGCCCCGGGCCCGATCTCGGCGCCTTTCTTCGCGGAGTCGAAATGGCGAGATACCCACTCGAGACTGGCCAGGCTGGTGAGGCCCAACTGGTCGTGGCATGGCGCCGTCTCGAGGTTCGTCGAGCACTCATGGACAGCCGAGACGACCACGTCGTCGAGACCCAAATGGATGACTGACCTCCACTGCGCGTGATGCCCCCATGCGCTCCCTCCGTCCTCCAGCGTGGCGTTGGCCACCCCGCGTGCTGTCCTCGGGCCTGGCACCACCCGATCGCTCCAGTCCACTGACCGAACCTGATCCATTCCAGAGGAGACCACGCGCTCCCGCTTCCCGTTGACGTCGTACAGCACCGCGAGGGTGAGGCAGTCACCTGAGCTCGAGCCACCATCTCCAACCCCATCAGCGGCGACCGCCAGCGGTCCTCCTCCGCCCCCAGCCAGAGCAGCTGCGAGCCCAGCGGCGCCGTCGGCGAGAGCGGCTGCGGGAGCGGCGGCCGCTCCAGCCGCGGGGGCTCCTCCAGCGGCGGGCGCAGGCATGGGGGCGAGCCTGCCTCCCGCGGGGGCTCCTGCGGCGGCGCCGCATCCGAGCCCTCTGGCAGCCGCTGGGGAGGGTCCCGCACTGAGTGCACTGACGCCCTCTCCTTCAGCAGCCCCGCCCGCCGCAGCGCCTCCGCCTCCTCCGAGCAGAGCAGCCAGCCCGCCGGCAGGTCCTCCTGCCTCGGCGAGCCCGCCGCCCCCAGCCGCGGGCGCGGCAGCACCCGCTGCGCCTCCTCCAGCAGCCCCGCCGCCTCCAGCGGCGACCAGCGCTCCGCCGCCACCACATGCAGGACGTGCCGCAACGACAGCGAGAGCAGCACCGTGGCCGCCAAGAAGCACCCGGGCCTGCTGTGCGAAGGCCTGTAGCTCCGCGGGCATGAGCGCGGCGGCGAAGGCGTAGACTTTGAGCCCAGCTCCGCCAGCGGCTGGGATGATGTACCCGTCATCTCGGATGTGAGCACGCTCTGGCCCGACTCGGTGCCCAAGTCGGATGTCGTCATTGACCTCGCTGAAAACTCAATGAACAAATCACCTCCTGGCACCCTGCGATCCAGAACGCCGACCCATGGAGCCCCCTCGCCGCGGGCCTCGACCGCAAGAGGCCCCTCTCCCTTTCGGCCGCACCCGCAGCCCGGCCGGCCGCGCATGGCGGCCCAAAGCCTCTCCTCCTCCGCGCACAGCTCTCCGGCCAGCGCGGGGGTCGGCGGCACGGCCGTCGGGCAGCTCCACGATGGCGGAGCGGGGGCCAACGTCGCAGCCGGCGGCAAGGCGGCCGCGGGCCGTGCGGCGGGCGGGCTGGTGGGGCCGCGGCTGGCCCACCACTGCCCCAGCCGCGCGGAGCACACGTGGAACGCCAGGAGCACCGCGCCGCGGCCTGCCTGGCGCATTCAGGTAGCGGGCTGCCTGCGGCGCGCGACCTCTCAGAAAAAGGCTCGGGCCGAAGCGGTGGCAGATGCAGCACCGCGAGGCCCTCCAACGCTCTGCGATTACTGTTCAAGAACTCCCCATCATCATCATCAACACCATCATGATCATCACCATCGAGAAAGCGTGATCCACCGCCGCTCTCCTGTGGAAAATCCCCTCCTTGCTGGACCCCCCCCCTTTCCACCCGGCAAAATCCCCCCCTTCCCCTAACCCCCCCCCCTCCGGGAAACCGGGGGGGGGGGTCACTACCGGTTCGAACCCCCCCCTCCGCCCCCCTCCGGAAAACCAGGGGGGTACTACAGGTTCGAACCCCTCCTCCCCCCACAAAACCAGAAGGGGGTCACTACCGGCTCGAACCCCTCCCCCTTCCCCTCCAGAAAACCAGGGGGGGGTCACTACTGGTTCGAACCCCTCCCCCACCCACCCCCTTCCAGAAAACCGGGAGGGGTTATTACCGGTTCGAACCCCTCCCCCCCACCCCACCCACGCTCACCGCCAGCAAACGACTCCCGGGTCCCTACCACCGTCGGCACTGCATCCCCCACTGCTGTCCCAAGCACCACTGTCCTCATCACCACTGTCCCCACTTTTCCCACCACCGTCCCCACTGTCCTCATCACCGCTGTCCCCACCACTGTCGCAGTGCCCCCACTGTCTCCACCACTGTTCCCACCACGGTCCCACGGACCCAACCACTGTCCAACTGTCCCCACTGTCCCACTGTCCCCGCCGCTGTCTCACTGTGCCCTCTACTGCCCGCACTGTCCCCACCACTGTCCCCACGATACCTCTGTCCCATTGTCCCACCGCCGTCCTCGCCACCGCCCTCACCACTGTCTCCACCACCACTGTGCCCTCCGCTGTCCCACTGTTTCCACCACGTTCCCACTGTCCCCACACCACTGTCCACACCACCACCGTTGCCACCACTGTCCCACTGTCCCCACTGTTCCCACCATTGCCCCCGCTGCCCCCGCCCGTGCCCCCACCAGTGTCTCACTGTCCCCACTCTCCCACCATTGTCTCACCACGGTCCTACTCTCCCCCCTTTCCCCACGGTCCCCACCACTGTCACGCTGACACTGTCCCCACTGTACCCACCACTGCCCCACTGTCCCCGCCGCTGTCCCACTGTGCTGCCCCACTGTCCCAACTGTCCCCATCACGGTCCCACTGTCCCCACTGTCCCCACCACTTTCCCCACTGTACCACTGTCCCACCGCTGTCCTCACCACCGCCTTCACCACTGGCCCCCCCGCTGCCGTCCCCACCACTGTCCCACTGTCCCCACCACTGTCCCGCTGTCCCCTCACCACTGTCCCCACCACCACCGTCCCCACCACTGTCCGCACCACTGTCCCACTTTCCCCGCACCACTGTCCCCACCACCACCATTGCCACCACTGTCCCAGCATTCCCACCATTGTCCAACTGTCCCGAAGAGCGGGAATCGTTTGCCGGCGGCGAGGGGGGGAAGGGGGGGGGGGGCTCGAACCGGAAGTGACTCCTCTCGGTGTTCGAAGGGGGAAGAGGGGGGTGTTCGAACCAGTAGTGACCCCCCCCTTTTCATGATGGACTGCGGGGGGGGAGGGGTTCGAAGCGGTAGTGACCCCCCCCTGGTTTTCGACAGGGGGGTCGGGTTGGGAACCCCCAGTGACCCCCCCTCGGTTTTGCTCCAGCAGCGGTGAAACACGCTCTTTCTCACCATCACCACCATAATCATCATCACCACCACGATCATCATCATCCTCACCATCAACACCATCATCATCATCATCATCATCATCATCATCATCATCATCATCATCATCATCATCATCATCATCATCATCATCATCAGCATCCGCAGCACCGCCATGATCATCGCCGTTGTTGTCATCAGCAACACCATCCCATCCCATCATTACCATCATCACCATCACCATCACCACCTTCATCATCATCACCATCATCGCCGTCGTCTTCAACATCAGCATCAGCATCATCATCGCCATCACCACAATCACCATCATCACCATTATTGCCAACACGGTCATTATCACCATCATAAACATCATCGTCATCAGCAGCACCGTGATGATCGTCGTCGCCATCGCCATCGCCATCGTCATCGTCGTCAACATCTCAATCTTGTCCACATCATCACTGGGACATGCCTGCTCCACGGGGCCGAACAAGTCCGGCGGGACGCCGCCCGCGGGGGCTACGCTGTGGCAGTGCCCGAGTCCCACCACACCCAAAAACAAACCCCAGGTTAGGTGAGTTGTTTGGAAGCTCATTCAACTTTTTTTCGTCAGCCGAACTCCGCTGCAGCGAGAAGCTAGAAAGGGACACTGACTAGCGAATTGGCCAGCGGGCAAAGAAGGGGGGGAGACGGCCGAGAGGAAAAAGGGACGCTCAGACGCCGAAGAGTTCAACGATGAGCAGCAGCAGCCAGGCGCGCAGGGCCAGAGCAAGCTCATTCAAACATATACCGTCTCGGATCAATAGACTTTAGTTGCCTTTGGCGGCCTTCAATGTATTATTAGCGGCCTTCTGTTGTCCGGGTGTCCATTCAGCGGCCTTTCGTGGCCTTAATCGGCTTCTAGCAGCCATTGGTGACCGTTAGCGGCCTTTAGGAGCCTCTAGAAAAATACAAAGAAGTGTACTAAACATGTTGCAACGGGCTTCCAAACTGACCCACTTCACCTAGGCAGGATAGGCCTTTGTGACCACCTACACATTTTTGTTACAGATCGCCTCCACGCGTCGCTCGTCACAACCAAACTTCGTGCAGGCGTCGAAGCGGGACCATGCCACCAAATTCCTGGCGGGACGGGGAGAAACCGACGCTCCTTCCTCCTCCTCCTCCTCCTCCTCCTCCTCCTCCTCCTCCTCCTCCTCCTCCCCTCCACTCTTCCTTCGCCTCCTTCGCCTTTCTCATGCTGCTAATGCTCTGCCTCCTCCACTGACCTCTCCTTTTCCCCGCCCCCCCCTTTGCCCACCCGCAACAGTGCCTGGGCTGTATATAACATCCAGATGCATCTCGGACGCCTCTTGGAGGCGGTTCCTTGGCGTGTCTGTGGGCCCTTTCTGGGGCGGGATCGGGATTTTTGAAGGGGGCACAAAAATAAATACACACAAATCCATTCCCATCTTTTCTGGGTTTCAGTCTTCCCCCCCAATTCCCATGTTTTCCCATAGAATCGTCGATTCATGGTGTAGTGCTCCTGGAGGTGCCGTGGAGCAGCGAGGCCCGACCTGGACACAGCGCGCGCCTCTCCGCGCCAGAAGGTGCGATCCCAGTATACTGGTTGCCAACGTCTGCCGTCCGGACTGGGGCCCAGCGAGGGCCCCCGTGGGGCTCCATGAGGGCCCGAAGCGGCCCCGACTTCGGGGTCGGCCAAGAGGGGAGCGTCCAAGAGGGGGGGGCGCAAATCATGGCCAGCGGCACGTGCGCGGCCCAGCGGATGAAATCTGGGGAGATATCATGGCCCCCCGCCATGATATCCCCCCCCCCCTAGTCATCACCCCCCTCTTTGCCGCCCCCGACGACTGGCGCCCCAGGAGGGCTTCAGTGGGTTCCTTCACACAGTCGAGTGAGGACGCGAGAGAGGAGGACACGCGAGAGAGGACGCAAGACGCTTCCTGAAGGCCACACTGCCGTGTGAATGCGGAAGCATGGGTCGCGAGGCGCAGGACATAAAGGCACCCTTGATTTGGCAAGGTCGACCAATCAGCCTCGACTGCAGACTTGATGCTGCAAAAGACGGCCCCGAGTGGTGCCCCGAGGGTGCCCCGAGAAGTGGGGCCTCTGCTGCTGCTTCTCCTCCTCCCCTCTTTTCCCTTTGGAGAGGGCGGGGGGCTCCTCTCGGGCCCGGGCTCGAAGATGCCGTAGCGGAGGCCACCGAACCCGTCGGCCCGGCCCGGCGGACATTCTGCCGAGCCTCTGGAGGGGAGTGAGAGACCCCTGCCCAGACAGCTGGCGCGCTGATCTGCTCGATGAGTGGGCCCTCGGGGGGATCTGGATGGTAAGGCGTCGGGTTGCGCACAAACGGCCTCCCCAGGTAGTTCCCGCTGGTCTCAAAAGGCCCCGCGAGTGGTCCTGGGCGATCTCAGCACCCTGGCGCCGCCTCCAGCGGCGTCCAAGGCTGAGGTGTTGAGACCGCCCCAGGCTTCTTGGGGGGCCTGTTGAGGCCACCCGGACTCCCTGAGGAGGCTGTCTGTGTGCAACCCGAAGCTGGACCCCTGCCCGGGGACAAAATCCCATCCTGGATCATGATGTGTTGCCCCGATGCACGAAACCAGCCTCCAGATGGCCAGAAAGCTGAAAAATCGGCGGCCTCATTTTTGCTCGATGCGGCGGGTGTCTGGATCCTGCCCATTCTTCTCTCCATATTCCTCATCCTCCTTCTCCTCCCTCTGCAGAGCCTGGCGCATCACACTTCAGAGGCTTCTCTCTGTATAGTCGGAGGGTTTGGCGACGTCCGCAGGCGAACTGGAACCTCTTCGAAGTTCTGAGGTTCATCCACGGGCAGTCATGCTTCATTACCTTTTCCAATCCGTCGCGCATCGTAGTAGTGCCCATCCATCCGGCACCGTGTTCGACGCGGTTGAATCTGTACCAATCCTTGATAAATTCCATGACAGACCGCATGACCTCGCTGCGGGGCTCCGCCGCGAAAACAGCATTCAATATGTTGCAACTCGCATCGAACGAGGTCATGAAGGTCGTCGTGTTGTCTACAAGATGCCCAAGGGGAGCGCGAAACTGAACGTCCAGATCCGCGTAGAAGCCCCCCTCGATCGCAATCACCGCGGCTCTACAAATCGGCCACCGCCCTCGCAGCGCGGCAAACGCGCATCCAGCCTGCTCTTGTTCCCTGTACGTTCTACGCACTCCTTGCGAAGCGATGCTTCGGACACCACTCGAAAAACCGATGCCAACAAACAAATAAACAACTCAGGCAACAACAAGGCGGGTTATAGAAACTCTGCGAGTCCCCAAAACATGTCATCTCTTTGACTTGTTTATTGCTGCAACATTCCGTTGGCTTCGGCTTGCGCCAGCTTCCGCCGAGGAATATAAATTTAAACCTCTCGATTCCTCGAAGGCGAAAGCCTTATTGGAACGCCTCACATGTGAGCGACGACCAGAAACGGGTCTTACGCGAGACGACAGATCTTACGCCGAAGCTTACGCGGGCCGCCCGCGCGGCACGCTACACTGGACGCGAGGGTGCTTACACGCGACCTCACGCGGGCAATTCACGCGCCAATGTCGGCGCAAACGACACAAGTTTATATGTGGGGTGGGGTGGGAAGGTACGGGTTCTACATGTGGTTTTTCAACGTCCCCGGACGCCGCCATCCGCTGGGAATGGGGGGCAAACTGGGGCCGTCGGGTGGGGCTAGGGTGGTTTGGTGGGTGGGTGGTGTGAGCCGTGAGCCCTGCCCCCACCCGTGAGCCCACCCTGCCCCCACCCACCCCCGCCCCGAGTCCAGCCGTGGAGCACGGGGATCCCCTGGACGCTTCTCCTCCCGCAGGCGGCCCAGCAGGGCCCTCACGGCGCTGGTCCCTGGTGGGCGCTGGAGGCGCTGGCAGGGGGGCGCTGGCAGGGGGGGGCTGCAGCGCCGCTCCGAGAAAGCTCTGCTCATGCAGGCCCAGTATAAACAAAAGGCGTTGAGGCCAAGATCGGCAGAGCAACGTCTCTCCACATCACGGGAATCATAGCAGGCAGCAAAAGGTGAAACGCCGCAACTCCGCAGCCGGCGCAACCCCGGGGGGGAAACAATAACTACTTCGCCGCAGGGAGCGCTGTTCCCACCCCCCCTGACCCTGAGAGAGAGGACCAGGGTGGCTCCTTCCTGTAGCATTCTGGGGCTGACATGACCCCCGCCCGCTGCCCGCACCACGCCCCCCCCCCTGAATTGCCCGAGGAGCCCAGGAGGCTGCTGAAAGTCTGCCCCAGGACGAGCTCGTTGCAGCGAGGCACTGATCAACGATCAGGCCCAACAATTGAGTCCTGAAAGCGCGAAAATCAACGCTCCTATGACTTTTGCACCCGCTTGATCACGATTAGTCCCAGCATTCGAGTACGGGATCAATTCCAATATTGATTTACCCCAGAATTAACTAGTTCGTAACATCTACGAAACGTTGCACTAATTTTTCAGAGGTCCGACGAACAAATGCGGGGTTTCCATATCAACTCTGCAATCGATCCCCTATTCGAGGCATACTAAACAACAGTGGTAAACTCCGAGGCTGGTCCCGATGACTGTCGCACCTGGCTGATACAAAATCAAGCCTGGGCATTATAGTTCCGCCACCATGCCCCTACGAGGGTTGCATCCGACTGGTCAAGATCAGGCCCGCCAGATGGAGGTCTGGCAACGCGAAAAGCTGGGCCTTTGTGAAGGTTGCACCTTGTTGAGAAACAGCAGGCCTGGCAATGGAGCTCTGGAGTTACGCAGAGCCAGGCGCCTACGACTGTTCCAGCTATTTGATCACTACCAGGCCCAGAAATTGAGTTTTGGTAGCAAGGAGGGCCAGGCCCCTGTCTGCGGGAGTCCCAACAAACGCATCGTTGTAAACGTATCAGCGGTTCACAGCCGAAACGGCACTGACCCGCCCCTCTCATCCTCCACATCCTACGTCTGCTCCTCTCTCCTCTCGTTTTGGCCTCCTTCATCCTACTTACGCTCTCGCTCGCTGCCCTGCCGTCGCCGTCGTCATCGCTGACTTTGCTCCGCGCGCGCCGCTTCGCAACTATCATGATCACTGTCACAACCATCATCGCTGCCATCACCATCAACTTGCGAAAAAGGCGACTCGTACCTGCGTCGTAAACAGCATAAATTACACAATCGCCGTCGCCACCATCACTATACCAATACTACTAAAAATCCGCCGACCCCTTGGGGTTCATCGGCGTGTGAAATCTTCCCCCTCCCCAAACCCCTCCCCCGGGAGCCTGGTCCGGTCGATTTGGAGGGGGGGGGGTCTGTTCAAATTCCCCGGTTCCCCCGGAGGACATCCGCTCCAAAAGATCCTGCAGGGACTCCTCCGGTGGCCTCGAAATGGCCCCGGGACTCACCACGACGGCTCAAGAGGACCTCCACGTGGCCTTCGGTGGCTCCAAGATTCCCCAATACGGGCTCAAGACAGCCCACGATGCCTCCAAAACGCTCCAACAGGCCCCGAAGGGGCGCCCCAAAAAGGTCCAAAGCAGCGGAAATCATTGATTTTTCATGAAGAAACGTAGATTTTTAGCATCGACGACTTTTCAGCCTGCGCGGAGTTCCAGCCAGTGTAAGAGGCCCCCAAGGCCACCCCATGACGTCCCAAAAAACTGTCCAAAAAGGCGCCCAAGACGGCCCAAAATGGCGCCAAAACGGCCCCAGAGGCTCCCGAATCGGCCCAAAAAAGTCCCAAGACGGCTCCTAGAGAGGCCCCAGCGGCGGAGCCCGAACCGAAAATCCGAGCCTTCCGCTCCCACCTGGCCCTGGGGCACCACACGAGCCGCCCAAAAGGTCCCAAGAGACCCCCAAAAGACCTCCAAAGAGAGTCCGAGAGGCCCAAAAGAGGTTCCAAGAGGTCCCAAAACGGCTATCAGTGAACTTCGAAACTACCGCCACGAAGCCTGCGAGATGCCCCCCCAGAGATCCCCCATAACCCCCCCAAAGACCTCAAACTGGAGATTTGCCCCTCCCCCCCCCCCGGGCCAGCACGAGCGCATCACGGGACTTTTCCGGGGTCAAGAGGGCCTAAACACGGGCCAAGACCCCCCCAAAAAAAACCTCCAAGACGGCCCACGAGAGCTCCGAGACGCCAAATGATCTCTCCGACTTCGGTGTCGCCTGTTGATGATTCCCCACCTGTTGTTGCTGCAAATGTTTCGTGTCCGAGAACGCTCCTCCGCACGCCGCGCACGTCACGTCGCACCTCGTTCTCTCGCCCCTCCGCGCATTTCCGACAGAGCCTCTCCCCCGATGAATTGTGCTTCTTCTGTGCACCCGGCATTTCCGCCTGCTCTTTCAACAGCGTCAGACATGTCTTGCTCGAACGCATTCAAGGGGTCGGCGGATGTGGCGCAAGCATGAAAAATCCACGTCCGGAGGAGACGTGCTGAGCGGCAGCGTTTTCTGCGGAGGCGATAATGCAACGTATCCAATGTCAATGTGTCCAATGATTGCATAATTGCAACGTGTTGTATTGTGTTACATTATTATGTCTCCCCCCACCCCCCCACCCCAGGGGCCACACCACTTCCGTCGACCCAATGGTGGCGGACCCCTTCTGGGCTTCAAAAACATCAGGAACCTATGAGAAATCAACAAATTCGGCCTCTTGGGGCTCTTGGGGCCCCAAGAAAGTTTCAAGACGGCCCAAAATGGCCCCAAGACAGCCCCCCCAAAAAAAACCGAAGAGGCCTCCAAGATGTCTTCAAGAAGCCTCCCAAAGGCTCCAAAAAAGCCCCCCAAAGGCCACACAACGACTGGAGTGTAATGTCATTTTTCCGGTTCAGGGTTCGAATCCCCCCCCTGCGAAAGTGTGATTTTTTGTTTTCTGGTTGGCGGTGTGTCGTTTGCGTGCTTCTGGTGTCGGGACGGTGTATACCCGCTCTGCCCTTGACCTCCCGTCTCTCTTTCCCATTGCCTACTGCCTACGATGCCGACTCTCTTGGTGGTTGGGGGGGGGCAAAATAAATCATGTTAAGAAATCCAGAATGTGTCTTTGCCCCCCCACCACCACCAGTCGACAACCACCAGCAGCGGCGTTGGCCGCAAGGGAGCGGTGCCAAACCTGCACGGTGCCGCGCCGTTCTGGAGTGCTCTGGAGTACTGGAGCACTCAAAGGGCTCTCGGGGCAGTGAGATGCCAACACACCGCGCAGCAGTGCGATCGCATCGCATTGCATGGCATCCGCATTGCATTGAATTGCCTTTGCGATCGCATCGAAGTTCATGGGATTGTCATGGCATCCGCATTGCATTGCATCCTGGCCCTCCTGTCTCCCTTCTGCCAGCAACCATAGTTTAGCAATGAACTGGTAGCACTGTCGTAGTCCTGTAGCTGTAGGGATAGTAACAGAAACAGTCGTAGTAGTACTAGTAACACTAGTACTAGTAGTAGTCGTAATAGTAGTAGTAGTAGTAGTAGTAGTAGTAGTAGCAGTAGTAGTAGTAGTAGTAAAACAAGTAGTAGTAGCAGTAGTCGGAGTAGTAGTAGTAGTAGTAGTAGTAGTAGTAGTAGTCGTAGTAATAACAGTAGTAGTAGTAGTAATAAAGTCGTAGTCGTAGTAGTAGTAGTAGTAGTAGTAGTAAGGGAAATAGTAGTAGCAGTCGTAGTAGTAGCCGTAGCAGTAGTAGTAGTGGTAGTAGTAGTAGTAGTCGTAGTAGTAGTAGTAGTAGTCGTAGTCGTAGCAGTAGTAGTAGTAGTAGTGGAAGTAGTAGCAGTAGAAGTAGTAGTAGTAGTAGTAGTAGTAGTAGTAGTAGTAGTAATAGTCGTAGTAGTAGTAGCAAAAGAGCAAATAGTCGTAGTAGTAGTAGTAAGACTCGGAATCGTAGTAGCAGTAGTAGTAGTAGTAGTGGAAGTAGTAGTAGGATCAGCAGTAGTAGTATAATTAGTAGTAGTAGTAGTAGTACTAGTAGTAGTCGCCGTAGTAGTAGTAGTAGTAGTCGTCGTCGTCGTCGTAGTAGTAGTAGTAGTAGTAGTAGTACTAGTAGTAGTAGTAGTAGTAGTAGTAGTAGTCGTCGTCGTCGTCGTCGTCGTCGTCGTCGTCGTCGTCGTCGTCGTCGTCGTCGTCGTAGTAGTAGTAGTAGTAGTAGTAGTAGTAGTAATAGAAGTAGTAGTAGTAGTAGTAGGAGCAGCAGTAGTAGCAGTAGTAGTAGTAGTAAAAGTAGTCGTAGTAGTAGTAGTAGTGGTGGCCGTAATAGTAGTAGTAGTAGTACTACTACGACGACTACTACTACTACTACGAGTACTACCACTACGACGACTACGACTACTACTACTACTACTGCTACTACTACCACTACTACTACTTCTACACTTACTACTACTACTACTACTAATACTACTACTACTACTACTACTACTACTACTACTACTACTACTTGTACTACTACGAGTACAACGCCGACGTCTGCTACTACTACTACTAATACTATTACAACTTCCACTATTACAACTTCCACTATTATTACTACAACTACTACTGCTGCTACTGGTACTAAGACTTCTACTACTCCTACTAGTATTACTACTACTGATACTAGCACGACTATTCCCACGACTACTACTACTACTACTACTATCACCACCACTACTGCTACTACTACTACTACTACTAGTACTAGTACTACTACTACGACTACTACTACTACTACTACTACTACTACTACTACTACTACTACTACTACTACGACTACTACTACTACTACTACGACTACTACGACTACTGCGTCCCCAAAAAAAAAAAACTCTTGGGCCAAAATAGCTGCGGGAGGTGGAGGATGGTGTGGACTACTCGGGGTGCCACACGCTGTCTACACTGTTTTATCTGTCGGCGAGGACGCAAGTCCGCAGAGGACGGTTCTGGTGCCCTACGGTGCTGCACGTGGACCCGCAGGGGCAAGGATGCTTGAATCCTTCGGGGCCCTTCCTCCTCCTCCTCCTCCTCCTCCGCCTCCTCTTTTTTTTCTTCTTCCCATGTAAGAGCATCCGTTCCCAATCCCTGCACGAGTCACCGAACCCGTGCGCACCAGCATAGCAAATACAATCCGATTGTAATGTGACGCAACGCGATAGCAATGCAACCGATTGCATTGCAGAAGCGGCACATGCGATGAGTTCGATTGCAATACAATGCAACGCAATCCGATTGCAATGCAATGCAATGCGATTGCAACGCAGTGCATGCGACGTGGCTCCTGCTCCTCCTCCTCCCTCCTCCCCCGCAGACCCCCCAGACAGAGGGAGGAAGACAGGAGAGAGTGGCTCAACCCAAAATGATGCATGCCCTTCCTCCTCCCCTCCGCCTCCGACCCTCCACGGAGCTAGGAACTGAAAGGGGAAATGCAACGCAATGCAACCTAATGCGATTGTGATGATCGACTCGTGGCTAGGGGGGAGGGGGGGGGGGCAACAAAAAAAAAAAAAAAAAAAAAAAAAAAAAAAACTTTTGATTTTTCAACTTTTTTTTTTTTTTTTTTTTTTTTTTTCTTTTTTTTTTTCGCCCCCCCCCCCCCCCCCCCCCGAACCATGACGAAGACCATCACTACCAGTGCGACCTCCCTGGCTGCGGAGCGGGCAGCCGCGGGAGGGCAGAGAGAGTGTGAGAGACTGAGTCGACTCGTGGCTGGGGGGGGGGGGGGGCACAAAAAAAAAAAAATCTTCTTGATTTTTCAACTTTTTTTTTTTTTTTTTTTTTTTCGCCCCCCCCCCCCCCCCCCGAACCATGACGAAGACCATCACTATCAGCACGACCCCCCTGGCTGCGGAGCGGGAAGCCGCGGGAGGGCAGAGAGAGTGAGAGACTGAGGTAGAGACAGAGAGAGGGAGATAGAGACAGAGAGAGGGAGAGAGAAAGAGAGGGAGAGAGAGAGAGAGAGAGAGAGAAGAGGAGAGGGACGCAGGATGATATAATGAAATGGTGACTTTCGCAGGGGGGGGATTCGAACCCGAAACCCATTTTTCCACCCTGGGCGAACTGCGGCGCAGCGCCAGCCAGGTGGAAATTGGTCACAGCGGCGCCCAGGATTAGAGCCGGCGCTGGAAAGAAATATGGGGAGGGAGTACGAAAAGGAGTGAGGGGGGAGAGGCCCCCAAAAAGTCCCCAAGAGGCCCAAGGAAGCTCCC